AGTGCTCATACAGCCCAGTTTATACAGTGGTGTCTGCTGGCCTTTTGGCACACAGCCACCCAGCCTGTGGAGCCACCCAACAGTTTCAGTAACCCTGACGCGAATACCAAGAGCCCAGCACAGCTCTCACATAAGGCCATACCCAGGGTGACAATTCCCTTATTGCTTTCCATAAAACAAGCACAGTACCAAAGGCAGCTGGGTTTTAATCTACATGTCCCAAAAATAAGGCTGTCCATTTCAAAATAATATAAGTTAGCCTGGCCACTGACAAACAGTTGGGTCGTTAGATCTTTACCTATCTGACACGACTTTTCAAGTGCTCAGATTAATTTCTAGTTTTGACTACAGCTTCCTAAGTTTTCACACATTCCTGTCATGCTTTCGGTTTCAGAAACACAAATAGATAACTTTTGCAGGGGTAAGCAAAGCACAGATCTTAGACCTTGTCAGTGGTAAACAAGTCTTGTTTATCCACTCCTGGCTGCCACAGTTCCTTGAGGCTGGGCAGGAAACAAGAGACTGAAASGAGACTTTGACCAAGTCAAATGACAGCCCTTAGGAGGTCTGCCAGATGCTGTAACACCTGATATTCAGATCTGAGCGTGAATATTGTCTGTCTTGCAGCATGAGAAGCTTGATAAAGGAGAAAGGACAAATACTGATGGAGATTCTACCAGCAGATTTAGGGAAGTACCAGAACAACACTAATGGCAAAAACCTTACTCCTCCTCTCAGGAGGTCCTGCTCTCAGCAATGAGTCTTCTAGAGAACAAGCTTTCTCTAGGGACAGGTTGTAATCTAAGAACTACACCTTGATCTGTGAGCAGAGCTCTTGATCCTACACACACTCAATACCTCTTACTATGCTAATGTGGTTTGCAGAGCAGGAAGGACAAGTATTTCAGTACCAAGATGGGAGTGTAACAGGTACCTTGCCATGACAGCTGAGTCAGTGACTAACAAGGAATTCCTACTGTGGATACTCAGTTTCACACTCATACTTCATACTCTAATACCTCTTGCATAGATCTTTCATCAATACTTTACCACTTCACCTATTCTCTTGATGAAGCTACACAAAGGTCCAATAAAAACCTCACTTGCATGGTAAGATTAGGAGAATTCCGTGGGCAAATGGCATCTTGTTAGGTGGGGGGGGRRAAGTTCAAGCCTAGGCATGTCTCAGCTAAAACCCTCTCACTGCTCATGCTTGAGACACGGTCACCACTGTGCAGTTTGGACTCCAGATATCATTATCCATGTCTGGGAGCTGAGTGACTCAGCCCACTTGAGGGAGACAAGCACCAGGCAGGTTACTTTCAAGAGGATTCTGCTTCCAGCTGGAAAGAGATCAAGGGCTCAGCACAGACTTGTTAGATAAACTGGTAGCCCCAGTAACCAAGGTCCAGGTACTCCAGGCAGGTTGGCTCCAAAGGCAGATCCAATTGCTGGCCTTCACTTCTGCCCACCACTTCACTAGTCCATCTTGTCTGTRAAATTACTGAAGTTACAGTATGTAGGACAGACTCAACAAGAATATTGGGGTTTTTAAATTGACATTAAGAGGATCTATTCAATTTCATTTAACAATTTCTGCATGAAACTCATGCAAGTGCAGTTAGACACAATTAGTCACCTTAAATTGGCATTTTAAGTGGYTATGCACAAGAAAGAGCAAATCACTCACTATATCAAGTGCCCCTAAATCATACAAATAGAAATCTGTGCTACAGGTTTACACTTCAATCCCATCTCAAAGGCAGTGCAACCCCTCCTGRAGCTTCACTACCCTATGAAGACAGCCATGGCCTCAATAACAGGTTTCCTGGCAAGAGAAGTCAAGGCTATTGGAGATCAGCTGCAAATCAACACACTCCAGCGGCCTTGATGAGCTTGCTTCCCTCGCCAGGGTCACTGACCATGASGTAGCAACAGCAGTGTTGACAAAGCTTCCCCCACAGACAGAGCGCGGGCTGCCGGCACCGGAGAGGAGAGGAGAGGAGGAGCAGCCTGGCAGGAGCAGCGCTCCCAGCAGCGATGACATCACCAGATCTCCGCCAGCACAAAATGCAGCACACTGGGCTCCAGAGCTGCATCCCCACCAACAGAGAGAAAAAGCAACAAGCACCGGGGAGCCAGAGGGGAACCATGTGACACAGGGGTATCCCTTCACTGCCTGCTATTTCTGAGCAGCACATGTGCAGTCCCTGACCTTGGGCGCTCATTTGCAAGCTTTATTCAAGGTGCATTTAAAGAGAAATGGGACCTTCGATCGAGTCCTTCACTGCAGAACTAAGCACGGGTATATTAACTATTATCATTTAATTAATTATCCATACSTAATTCAGATTTGAGATGCACAGCTTGTGTTTGGATTGATGTTGCAGAGAASGATCCTTTTATCCTCACAAACTCAGGTCACGGCTATGTCTGAAGGCAGACTGTTACACAGCAACTACACACAATCATTTTAGGAAGCTGCAGAGGAAAGCCAACTCAACTCTAACTCATCAGGCAATTAAACTGCAATTATCAAGACAACACTGTGCAAGAATGAAGTACTTCAGCATCTGAAGGATGCAATATTGCTGTCAGACAAGCAGCACACAGGCACACTAGTGACCAACCAAGTTCAGCTTTTAGGTAAGGGCTTAGCTGGACTCCTTYCTATGGAGGCAACAAGCTTTAAACTACTCTACAGCTCTGCAAGGCAATCTTGGTCCATCAGGCCCTAGTAACAGGAACTTCAGAACAGGTTAAATCTGATTCAAAAAGAAGCCTAGAAGACATGGAAACACTGACAACATGCAAGGTGAAGGTTCTGTAGTTGTTTCACAAAGGCTCAATTTACTTCAGTTACTGATAAAATTGTATTTTAAAAGCAGGGACAGGCATCAGTAAGTACCTGGGAGCCCACATCATCCACCAGTTTCAGAGAACACAAACATCCAAGTGCCCTATTTCATAGCCCTTATTCTCAAGCTAGGTGCCTGCAAACCCCTCTCTCACGATGCAGCATTTAACACACACTAATCAAGCACAGACAATTTTGTTTACAGCCAAATGTTAAGTTCTGCATAAACTAGTCTCATTTTCATACAGAAGTCAGACCAAAATCCCATACATGTTAGAGACRGAGCTATTTATAGTTTTGTACAGATGGTTTGATTGTAATTGTCATGTTTCCTCAAGGACAAGCTTTGCCAGARATTTGCTCCAACAGGTAATTCTCACAACCTTCAACACCAGTGTCTTAAAACACAAGCTTTAAGAAGCTGCTGCAGAAAATAAATCTGGTAACCCTCCTGCTCACAAGCCTTCATTTTGAGTAGCAAACCAAGAAAAGTCRTATCTTCTCCAGGTCACTTCAGAGCAGAGCTTGTACATTTTCCACTTTCAGTTAAGGATTTATCAGTGTTGTAACATATCTGTGCTACTCAAAGAGTTTGACTCCCTGGCTTTGGCAGGAGGGCCAGGATGTTCTAGTGCAGACACTGCAACAGTTATTTAAATTCTTAACTTGGCACCTTGAATGTTCAACTCAGGGTGCCGTTCCCCACCTCTTCATTCTGGTGACCAGTGACAGGACCCAAAGGAACAGCACGAAGCTTTGTCAAAGCAGGTTCGAGCTGGGTATGGGGAAAAAGTTCTTCACCCAAAGGGTGGCTGTGCACTGGAATAGACTCCCCAGGGAGGTGGTCATGGCCCCAAGCCTGCCAGAGCTCAAGAGCACTTGAGCAATACTCTCAGGTMCATGGTGGGGCTGTTGGGGGTGTCCTGTACAGGGCCAGGAATTGAACTTCAATGAYCCCTTTGGGTCCCTTCCAGCTCAGAACGTTCTGTGATTCTGTGCTGAACTATTATCAGGGTGTTTGAACACAGGGACCACTACAWGACACCACAGGGAAAAAGAAAGTTTAACACAGCTACTCCCTCGCATCTTATCAGTTATACTTCACACTGCAGGTTGGTAGAGCAAGAAACTGCTTTCAGATTTCAGAAGTTTTCCTTATTGAGGCATCAGATTAACCCCATTTTACAGYTTTTCTACACCAGAAGTAGAGTATTAACACAACAGCACAAAGAAAAAAAAACAAAAATAGAAAAAAAGGCAGCACTTGAAAGTAACAGTATTAGAGCTGCTTTAATTCTGAGGAGCCGGGCCAGGCATGGTGGGTCCACTCATTAGTGCATGGAGGGCAAGTCATGTGTTCAGTCAGCTGTTGGGAGTCACAAGGGGGAGGGGGAGAGACAAGTATACTTGTTTTTCCTGAGTAAGTACAGCAACGGAGCCTTGATTATTTAACAAGGAATATTCAAATGACTCCACCCACTTTAACCTCAAATTCAGCTCCTRAGAGAGCAGGGTACACTGACTCCAGCAGCCTGGTTCTACTGGAAGCACAGCCAGGCTGCAGCTCTTATCACACACCATTGGTACCACCACAGCCTTCAAATCACAGCCAGACAAACACCAAGGCATAGCTTCTTATGTACCATTCCCCTAAAAAGTGAATTCTCCACTTCCCCCAGCTYCGATTCCCATATGGATACAYAGAGTGTTAGGCACAGGCCAGAGCTGGCCAGYCAGTAACAAGCACTGGAAGCTTTAAAGGCTCCATGCTGGCAAGTGTCAAACAAAGAACAGCTTGCTTACAGTGGGGAGGACTTAATTCTGTCATGGGTTCTCAGTTTACATATAAAAACTTCATACACAGAAATCACAACAGCTCTGCTTATCAGCAAACATCTTCGTTTTCAAGAAGATAATGCTAAGATTTCCAGCCTTGAGAACAAAAGGCTTGGAGTAACTAGGTAAGACATACTCATTTTGACACTGAGATTACCTATCCTACTGCAGATTAAGACATCTTTTTTACTACCAAAATAATACCTCTATTTACAGRGAGTGCAATTGTCTTAAGTACAACTATCAGTCATTTCCATATTTATTGGTCTCTATATATATGGAAACTAATAACGCATCTATCACTTACCTTATTATACACTCACAGACAAAAGCACTTCTAACATCCACTCTAATACTTCTCAGGACTGACTCAGGCTTTACACACACCAACAGCTACTTTCGCAATAACTGCCAGTCTCCTCGGCCGCCTCTTTGGTCAGATTAATTGCTCCCGGGGGTGCCGGTTCACGTTAAAAGCGATCCCCACCGACCCCAGAGCGGCATTTCACCACCCCGACCCAGCGCCCCCACCCGAGCCCCGGCCCTCCTTCGGCCCCCGGGTGCCCCAAAGCCTCTTCAGGCTTCGCGAGGAGCGACAGCAGCTCCGCACGCCACAGACAATGCGCTCCCWCCCCGGGAGGCATTGCTTGGGCCTCTGCGAGCCTCTCAGCAGAGAAGGCTCCACAAAGGCCTGGCGAAACGCGCATCCCGGGAAAGGCGCTCGGGGAGGAGCCCCTTCCCGGGGAGACCCCCCCGGTATTGTCCCGAGGGCAGCGCCGGGCCCGGCTCCAGGGAGCTCGGCGCCGGCAGCTCGCCCGCCCGGGCCCGCCTTGGGGCGGGCAAACAAGCCGGGCCCCGGTGCGGAGCCGGCCGGGAGCACCGAGACAGCACCGAGACAGCGCCGCCCCCGCCGCGGGCCCCCCGGTGCTGGGGAGGGGCCGCGAGTGGCTGCCGCCGCCCGGGGCGAGGCCGCACCCCCCCATCCCCATCGGCGGCGCGCAGGACCCGCGGTACCGCCAGGCTCACCTGGTGCTGCCGCCGCGGCCCGGCCCCGATCGCTGCGCCCCCCGCCCGCCTCGTCGGCTTTAATGGGCCCCGCCGCCTCCCGCGCCCGCTTCCGCCTCCCCGACAACTTCCGCTCACGGGGCCCTGACGTCACCGCGCGCCGGCCTCACGTGACCGCAGGGGCCCGGCCGCCATGTTGGGCCGTGTGCGGGACGCGGGCCCCGTGGCCGTGTTTGACGGAAAATAAATATTTGTGTTGCCATCGGAACCCGCACACAGGAGAGGGGTGGGAAGCGATCTGCCTCCTCCGCGGGCTGCCATCGCAGCAGGGCAGCGAACACCGCGGCCTGCGCTCGGGTGGAGGAAAGGGCAAGAGAAACCTTCGTGCTTTCACATGGGACACATAGGCACAAATCTGTKCTTTGGTTTCCTCTAAAATATGTTGAAGAACTAGCAGGCAATTCTCTACAGTTARATTACTATATGAGAAACTTAATTATTGGTATTAGAAATAAAGAGGCTACATTTTTAGATTATATATTTTTAATACTCATATTTTTACTTGCAGCTGTAATCAGGAGTGGGGTATTAGCAACAGATCTTGTCAGRAAAGAAGATAAAAGATGCCAGTTGAAGACACATTCAGACTGATTAACCAGGCAATTGCCAGCACCAAGATCAATAGTGCAGCCAAGTAAAATGGGATCTTCTGAATTATCTGGACCTTAATCCATAGGGTAACAACTATCCTACAAGAGCAATTGTGGCATCACCTATTACAGACCTCTGTTATGCAGAACTTCATACCAAATTCCTGTGCCACTTGCTCTTGATGTGACCAACAGCTGTTCTCTCATCCTCTATGGGAACACAGCATTTTCTTAAGCTGATGAGGCAAAATCTTGCTTGCCTCGAAGAACATAGAGATCCTGGCACTCTGGAGGACCAGGGGCAGCAGAGTGGTGCCTGCTGTCCWGGATGGGAGCTACATTCACAGGGGMRGGGTGAAAGTRGAAGGATAGTGATAGTGAGGTGGCAAATGGAAGTACTGAGCTGTGGCTCTTGACACACACCCCTTCCCCATCAGAATAAACACGTGCTGCAGTGAGCAGCCCAGCATCCTGTAAAGGAAACCCTAAAATGTAAAACCCAATGACAACCCATAAAAACAGATCAGTTTGAAATCCAATGCCAATCATTCCCAATCACTAACACAGCTCTGAAGAAATCCATTCTCTTTCCTTGAGGAGCCTTCACACAGTTGAGTGGATGTCTAAGGTTATAGTATCAGGTYTTTAAACATTTACTGGTGCAGAAACCTCAACCTATCCCATACACTCATTCCTCTAAACCAGGAAGTGAGAATGTCTTCTGATTTGATTTTCTTCCTTTTGTGTCACCTAATCTCTATTTACTAATCTTCCTGATCCAATTAGAGACAATAAAACCGTATATGTCTTACAACACCTCTTTGCTTTTGTCYGTGGACCAAAAGGGCCCCTCCCTTTCCCTTCTCATCCGTGAGAGGACAGAATGAACAGCGGTATGAAAACACCTGCTGACTGGGGAATGGCCTGCAGAGTGGCCCAGGGAGCACATCACCTCAGCTGCAGCACCTACAGATCTTTGACATGAGCTGAGAGCATCTGAGATTCCCCACAGTGATTAATGCATTCACCCTCTTCTATGGACACACAGCTACCCCATCCCTGGCCATCTGTGACATTAAAAGCTTGGGGAGATGCCCTTTATTCCCCTTGTACTTGTCCAGCATGTTTCAGCTCTTCAGAGTTCTGCAGTCTCTCCTCCTCATCGCTGGGCACRGCCCTGGGACCCTTCTTTGCCTCTGTGCCCAGAAAGATGTAGCACCAGCCTACAGTGGCTGTGCCTTGGTGAAAACTGGGACTCCCAGAGCTTCCTGTATATTGCTGTCCTCTCCCAGCTGGCTGCGGAGTGCTTTCCCTCGTCACCTTTGGCCTTCTAGACTAACTTCCTCAACTTGTCATTATAATGATCTAACACACAAAAATTAAAAAAGGGAACTAAAATGCAGTAAACACACAAAATGTTGCTTTGGTACTCCAAGCTTTGTCATGCTTTGATTTATCTTGTCTAAAGCAGATTCCCCTYGGTTCTGCTGGCATTTTGTTCATTAGAAATCTCCTACTGCATGACCATCTATGCATTTTGACTGGCAAGAGCACRGCCCTAGTCTTTTGCCTGCCCTGTCCCCTAATCCCTGCCTGCAGTACAAATACTGCTCAGGTAATCTATTAATGCTTTCACCTTTGCAATCCTCTGATGATTTCCAAGTCATAGAGCAGCATCACCTGRAAACAAAAAGGTAGCTCTGGACAAGACTCGATCACCAGATACCAACTATAGGAAGCAACTGCAATCACGTTATCTCATGGCAGATCTCCAATCTGTGGTGCAGAGGACATTGAACACAGTGCAGGGATTAYGTCTGTGCTCACTGATAAAATGCATCTGCTGGAGGATGAACATCTTAAAGACAAAGCAGTGGTACAGGGTCTGAATGCAGCCATTGAAGCCTGAGCCCCACAGGGAGGGCGGGGCCGACCTCCAGTGCTGCAAAGCCCCATTTTGCAGAATCCCCTCACACCAGACACACAAGACACATAAAAGAAATGGCTCTGGACTCTTTCAACAGCTTCTCCTTGTTCTATAGCAACAGCCACAAGACCACTGCAGAGCTGTGATCTCTGATTCTGGGAGGTGGCAATGCTGGCACCTTCCCTCAGATGCCACCTTGCTCCCTGAGATGTGAAGGTCCAAACACCTGCTCTGCCTTTGAGTCAGCCTCCCACAGAGGCTGTGGACAACATGCTGAACACAGGGGACATCCTTAGACAAGAATCTATGCTGGCCCTGGCAAGACAAGCAGGGAGAAACAACCCCATGCTGCTGGTCATGGTGTAAGCTGGGCACCACACGACTTTACACTTACCACACTTATCTGGGCCTAGACGGGTGGAAACCAAAGCCCATGGAAAAGTCAAGTGTCAYAGGGGAAAGGATGTTTTTTGTGGCCCAGATTTTATGCTCAGGGCCAGAGAGGCACCCACATCCTATTTATAACCATAAACCATGAGGCTGTCACACAAATAGTGACAATCACCTCAGGCACCTGCAGATCTCCTRGCTGTCCTGCCTCCCCAGCTACAGAGGTTCTCCAGCACCACCAAYACCTTCCCACTTTTACAGCCAGTCCTAAATACCAGCTAATTATTTTTTTACAGCTGCATWGGAGGTAAGGCAGGTAATTTCAGATGATTGTTCCCATACTCAAGTGCAGAAGATGATCCGGAGAGTGAAGTAACTTCCCTAAGGCCAGAGTGAGTCAGTCACTTTGTCAGATCYGTGTCCTTCTAAACGCAGACATTTCTGAAAGGCTTTTTAAACCTTTGGAATGGTATAAAAATAGTTACAGAGAGAGGCCTTTGCCGAGCTGGCCTTCCTTCAGAGATTAAGTTTTTATATGAGCAGTGTGTTACCAAAGCAGCAGGCTCTATGAGCTGTTGTTTAGCAAGCACTGAAGCCTTCACAGTGAAGATCTGGTGAACCTGAGAGCTCTCAGCTCATGCCATTAGTGGCTTTGAAGCCATGAGAGCAGGCAGGACAGGCTGATGGCTGGCAATGCCTGGAACACCCTGCAGGACACACAGTTGGTGTCACTGCTCCTCCCTGCACGGGATGCTGTGCAATGGGGTGGACCAGCCACGTGAGCTCTGCATCCAGGTGTTTTGTGGCAAAGGTGGCCATGCCATGCTGCTGCTGCACCCAGAGTGTGTCATGGGACAGGAGCCCGATGCCACGTGACCACTGTGAGTGGGACACTTCGTGGGACAGGTGACTTGCATGTTGTTTCTTCCTTAGCAGTGAGTCAGTGCCAAAAGATGTCCCAAAGACAGCTCTCCGTGGGTAGGAACCAAACTGGCTGCAATGCAGTACACTCTCCGTGGTCTGCAGGTCCATCCTGGATCCTAAGAAACAGGAGAGGCCTAGAGAGTTCCTCTGGGACCCTCCCTGGGAAGGACACAAACACATCCCACAGCAGGATTCCCACCTCAAACCCCAGCACCGCTTTGCAAGCCCAGGGTGCTGCATATTAGCTTCAGATCTATCTGCTTCAACTCTTTTCAAGTGACAGATTTTCGCAATCCCCTCTTGTCTGCTCTAAAAGGAGAAGCAAATCCTGTATCAATGGTAACCACAAGAAGCTGGTATAATTTTGAGTGCATGTTTTCAAAGACTGTGACAAAGATACTCAGCCTTGAAGGATAAGGGTGTGTGGGCAGTGAGGTTTGCTTTGCTTTTATCTTGGACAACACTTTTCAATGCCTGGTGCCTCAGCAGCTGCATTTCTGACCCCAGGGAGTTATGACTCACTGTTTGCAAATC